GCTCAGTTCTCTCTCTCTCATGTCTGACCTGCTGAAGTCATTCAACCCTTTTGCGAGTCAAGACCATGCCCCTGCTACAGCTAGCTAGCATGCTAGAAGGTTCTGGATCATCTTTACATGAAATGATACCTGTAGCTGCTGCTGTAAAATGTCTTCATTTGTTCTCATTTTATGCGATTTTAATGTTGAAATGTTTCTTTCTAATTACGTTTTAATGTTGTGTTGGTGCTTCCTATTGGTGGAGCTTAGTATTGCACATTGAGGTGCTTTGAGCAGGTGATTCATTTAAATACACAGAGACTCAAGCTAGAAAACAAATTTATGTCAAAATAAAATGAGAATAAAGAAAAAAAGGGACATTGTGGCTCACACGGTGTATTTATCTGATTATTATCACCGTCTTATTTCTCAGTAAATTTATTTATTGACTTTCTGTAAAACTGCTTATTTGGAGAAGCTAAATAAAGGATTTTTTGTGGACTTGTGGCCATTTTCCAACTGTTCATTTGAATAACTATAAAGGACTAAGAAGGGAAATCTGTTTAAATCAACAAGTGATTTCACCAGCCACCACTGTTGTATCTCATATTTCTTGTTTTGTTCAATAATTTAACCATAACTTCAGCCATATATGTCACATTTAAACCATCAGGATAACAGGCAAACAAGCAGATCTCAACAATCTTCTGCTTTTGCTTCTCTTTCACTATAAAGATTTGAGCCGTCTCAATCAATCAACACAAAACAGAGAAAGACGCAAATTTATTCCCTTTACTCCCAAATGACATGTTTCTAGCCAGCAGGCAAGTAGTTTGCTGGATGCATTATTGTTGGTTAAAGTGGTTCAACAGAGACAGCTGTTGTGTAAAAGCAGGGTTTGATGTGTGAGACTTGTTTTAATAACATGTCGTCTGTTCATAGTTATTTCAGTTGTTCAGATAAACAATTTCACGTGAACCTCAGATATTTATAGATTATTAATTATCATTAATATTTAAATGATTTAAGCAAACAAAAAAATGTTCAATGGGAGCTTCAAGAACCAAGTCAGTGACTCGTGTTTATTTAGGTGAAGCACCAGGAGGAAGGCAGGTAAACAAAAAATGACAATAATAGTCATAATTTGGGCATGATCGCAGGACACAAATGAATGAAACAGGAAGATCTGGTCCAGAGGTACTTTTAGACCGTAGGTAAGTGACCACAAAACAGCGACAGGTGAGCTGATGGCTGATGAGAAACAGGTGTGTCTAATCACTGACTGGGGCGTTGAAGGAAAGACCAAAACTGAACCCAAATGAACACAAATCATGTTTTTTCCTTTGATAATTTCTTGAGAGGTCTAAAAACAACAGTTTTATACTCCTGTGAGACAAAAAGAAAAATTGTGGTCAAAGCCTTTTCTCTTATAAAATCTCAACAACAAACTTGCCTCATCTAGCTGTTATTTGCTTAGTGAGTCTAAATCCAGCAGCGAGTACTTTTGTCAAAACCATCATCGAGTTTATATTGACAAGTACATAAATACGAACTAACATTACTGGCTGTTGCAGCACTGCCTACAGCAACCATGAAAGCTGAATATTTATAGTTGCTTAAGTAGAATATGGTTTCCCTCTGCAGAGGCGGAGCTGGCCTAAATGGCGCCCTGTGCGAGATCCCCCTGTGTTCATTAGCACATCAAGTTCTATTCAGTTTACCGGTAAACATATCACGAATGTACAACAGGTCAATTATTAATCATCTTGGCTACGTAGCTCAATCTATGCATTCCAGTAGCGTTTGCTACAAACAAATATAAAAACAACAATAAAGGAAAACAACTGTCTGACAGACAGCATAGCCGAATTCAAGGCAACACATAACAATAATCATTTGATTGCTCCTGGTTTCAAATTAAGCCCACTAAAGTGCTTAAGTAAATAAAAGTGTTTCAAAAACAGCGTTTTTGAACCGGAGTTCTGCTCGCGGTGGGAACTCCGCCGAACAAGGTCATTTTTTATAGCGAAAACGATCGACTGGTCACTGACAAGTAAAAGGGTGTTATTGGTAGATGTTAAGAACACTTACAGCTGAGGTAAAATGAGAGTATAAATGAACTGAGGGGAGAAAAACGCTTTGTTTTCCAATGCCGTTCTACAAGCAACAAGCTTACAGCCACGGCAGGAGCAGCTTTCATGGTTGCCGCGACGTGGAAGGAGCCAATCAGGAGAGGGACCTCACATCAGCTGACGTGGGTCATGTGACAGGGAGTAGTTGATATGGGTTACACTTTGTTGTGCTTTTATTACAGAAATATTAGTATTATCATCACTATTATTATTAAGAACATGCGATTTCTATGTTTTGTTTATGTATTGGTTGATGCTAAAAAAAAATATTTTTAGAAAAAAAAAAAAAGGAAAAATGCCGCCCCCTGCAGACTGCCGCCCTGTTCGGCCGCACATGTTGCACATATCAAGCTCCGCCACTGTCCCTCTGCGTGTGTGTAGGTACAGGTGTGTGATGAGCTCGTTGTTCTGATTAGCAGGAGTTTTTCAAACCCGACTGATGAGAAATCCCTGGACATGATGACCAGCTTTGACCTGTAAGATGAAACTCAAAATATAGCAGCAAACTTTGTCCAATATCAGGCTGAATTCTCCATTCATGACATGGCTTTCATAACCAGTTCAGCATTTATTGACTCAGTATTTCATGAGAGAAGCTGACGGTTTGAAATAGAAATCTGCTGGAGCCAGATAGGCTTTTGGATGTTTGGCAGTCATTGGTGATGACTCAGTTCATGTTTAATTTCTATGCTCTTAAGTTCTAGGACAGTATCACTGAGTAAAATAAGTCAATAAGAAAAAACAAGCTATATTAATGCAGAAACAAATTCATCATATGGAATTAAAATACAGTCAATACCCTCTCTTGATTAAAAGGAATTTTAAATGTTTTTTTTTTTTTAGTTATGCTGGCTTGCCCCATAGGTTACCACTTAAGCCGATATTCTCCATCAATGTATCACCGTTTTAGAGTGAAGTAACTGATGTTAAATCTGCAATCATAGATATATGTGAGGAACAACTGTGGACCGAGAATGGAACCCTGTGGGACCCCATAATGAAGTTTTAGCTCAGTTAGAAAAGCACCCATAAACAGGAGTTTTATTGAGAACGTAATTCAACAATAATTTGCAACATTTAAAAAAAAACAGTTTTTCTGTAATTTGGCTAAAATCATTTTGAGATTTACAAATGCTTTGGAAAAGCCTAAAAATACTACAAGTGAATTCATTAATTTTAATGGCAGCTGTAACGTTGTTGGTCAGATTGAGTAAGGAGATGAAAGCGGAATAATTTCTTTGAAAATCATATTGGTGATCACTAAAATGACATTGTTGTCTAAATGAAGAAAATTTTGTTTGTTTTTGAGGGTTTTTGAAAAACATGGAAAAGTAGATGTTGGTCTGTGGTTGGACAAATGTAATCAGCTTTAAACGGGGAACAACTTTTAAAACCAGTAAAGCCCAATATTACTTTGGCTTGTCATCAAACTATTTCCATATGAGAAATACTTGTGGGAATATGTGCATCTGCTGTGCCTGTTTATGCATAAATTATGTTTGGGAAGGGCAGACATATTATTTGTCACAAAAAGATTAAAACAAATCCATTTAACTCATTCTCTGTATTTATTCAAAGAGTCCAATGAAGATGAGCTACTATTATAATAAATTCAAATTGTAGTGTTTAAGCGAAAGAGATGGGATAAACGAGCATTACGCAAAAGCATTATATATATATATATATATATTTATTTATTTATTTATTTATTTTTATTTTTTTAAGGTCTTTCCTGCCTAGTTGGAAAAGTACAAAAAACTGCCAGACTTTTTATTCTTCTGATCTTCATAGCAGCACATAATATTATTGCTATCTGTCCTTATTCAAATCAAATTAACCCAAATAGTTCCAATTGTAGAGTTGAAAAGATAAAAGTGTTACAGAGTACATGAGTGGTTGTGTTGCCTATAGGGCTGCATGATAATAGGGAAACCTGCGATGTGCAACAACAGTGATTAATATTGCAATGATGATATGACTTGCAATAAATAAAACAAATAACTCAAGAACAAAAAAAAAAATCAAAAACAAAGAAATAACATTGTTTTTAAATGACTAAAAAATATCACAAAAATGGTAAGAGCAAACATCGTGATCAAACATCGTGATCAAAAAGTGTGAGGTGAGGATCCTAGGGAAAGCAGAATCGGCAGAAAGAGCAGAACAAAGCTAACTCAGAAGTTTGCTACCCGTTCAAATTAAGCGCCGTCTGCCTAGGTGGCGGGCATCTAACCTATAAGAACCCACCCGATTGGCCAAATAGGTGAAGGGTTTCTATTTGATTAGTCAAGAATGTAATGCTTCCATTTGATTGACGAAATGCATTTGAGCTGACCATTCATTGAGTTTTTTCTGTTCTTTGCGATATGCGTATTGTGCTGATATCGCGATAACGATACATCTGTGATGTATTGCGCAGCCCTAGTTGACTATATATGTAAATTATAATAAATTCTATATTTTAGATGTGGTTTAGACTCAAAAGTAAAGCTAATCTAAAAGAAAATTGTAAAAATTGATGGAACAGAACAGTTTTAGTTATAGCTATTTTGATATAATAGAGCAATGGACATTTATTGTACTTATAATTGTCTTTTATTTGCATAAAAAATTCTATGTTTAAATTGTTGAGCATATAATTTGCTAACTGGTTCTACTGACCTGCCTGAAATGTAGGATTACAGATCCTTCATAATAAATAAAGTAGGAGCCAGAGTCATTTTAGTTCATGTTTTATAAATATTTGATTCGTTTCAGCAGTTGTCGTTCCCAGTTAAGGTACAGTGTTTGTTGGCCTACTGCCACCTGTTGTTAAGTCAACTCTTAAATTATTTACACAATGAGGAGTTTAACCGTGGTCCACCACTTTTCTGTCCATCTTCTGTTTAGGTCGCAGCAAAAAGAAGGAGCATTGCCTGAATGAGGACGTGTACCCACTGGAAGAGACGGAGACGTGTCCCTGTGATGAGTTTTTATCCCAGCCCTATGGGAACTGGTCTGCGTGCATCCTGCCAAATCCCTCCTCCTACGAGTCTCTGCAGGGCTGGATGAGTCACCGGGAGCTAAAGGAATGTGGCCAAGGTCTGCGCTACAGAGCTGTGGCCTGCATTAACCAGCAAGGACACCTGGTTAACCCTACACTCTGTACAGACACAGGTAAGATGGACGAATCCATCCTTCTGCTGCTTTTGAATCCTCATTCAGGTCAAAAGGGCTGAAAAATGAGGCTTTTTGAGCATTTTTTTAATTATAATGAATAAAGAGAATAAAGGAAATACTTTTTTTATTGTGTCACAATAATCATCCTCGCTGGACTCATCCAGGGAACAAACAGAAATCCAGAACAAAAAAAGCGTTTGAAGAAACCTTGTAAAGCACGATCAGCCCAGTGAAACACTTGTTAGTCAGATAATTAACTGCCGTGTCCCAGTCAGTAAATCCAAGGTCTGGGGTAACAGAGGCCAGCGGCGTGTCTGTGTGACATTATATCTGCTGCAGCCGCTTACCAAGACTGAATCACACCTCCCTCGTTGTCCAACCGTGTTCAATTTCAGGCTACACTGTGGAGGTCTGCCACATTCCTTGCCCTCTTGACTGCAAGCTCAGTGAATGGTCTGCCTGGTCAGCTTGCAGTGCGTCCTGTGGCAGCGGGCTGAAGATTAGATCCAAGTGGCTTCGGGAGAAAGCATTCAATGGCGGACGACCGTGTCCCAAGCTTGACTTGAAGAACCAGGTAAGTCTGGCCTGGTGCCCATAAATATAAACGACTCTTTTATGATGGTACATTTAGAACAATAAAAAATGTGAGTAACAATTTTCATAATAAGATTTCTTTTATGTAATAATGAATCGCAAGATTGATAAATGGGTTTTTCTGATGTTTTAAAAACATTTCACGTGCACATTTGATGTTGTACTTGCTGACAGAACAGCTTCTGTTTGGAGAAATAAGGATGCATTCTGACTAGACTGGCAAACTAGTGGTATGTGATGATTTTAGTCTCAGAAAATGTCACGGAAGTCCTTACAAAAGCAATTTTATAACTTTCTACATTGCAATCTATGATCTAAAATTACAAGTTAGCGTTAAACAGTTTGCATAAATCTTTACGATCCTTTCAAACATAAATCATGGCAGAAGCAGCATTTCCAGACCGGCCTGGAACATTTGCAGCAGGAAATTTTCTTTTGGAAAAGCAAAACATTCTAAATCGCTGTTAATGTAATGGCTTCTCTTGTTTTATGTTTCACATGAACTGCTTTGAAATCTTTTTAAGAATACATAGACCCACTTTGTTAGTTGGGCCAATTGAAGCTACCGATTTGTTGGTCACTCTAGTCTGACCGGGCCTTTCCACCAGACCAACACGTTCTCACTCCCGAAGCGTTGAAAAAGGACACCGGGTGACCAAGCGTTTCCGAGGCAACGCGCTGTGCCAGAGCGTCGGTTTCTGACGCCCACGGTAAAACGCACGTTTCACCAACATTTAACCTTTAACCTCTTGCTGTTTAATCTTCCCCTCACCCCCATCCCAACCGTAACCCTGTTGCTCATTCTAAACTTCCCGTTAACCGTGTTGGAGAGGGATGTTACAGTTAGGAACAAAGTTTTGAAAGCGCAAGAGCGTTACAGTTAGGATGGGGGAGAGGGGAAGGTTAAATAGCAACAGGGTAAAGGTCAGAATTCGATGAAATCTCCGTTTGACAGCGGCAGTCGGAAACCGATTTTCCGGCACGGCGCGTCGCCTCAAAAGCGTCGAAACAAAAGCTTGCTCACCCAACGTCATTTTTTGATGCTTCATGTGTCAAAGTGCGTTGACATGTAGGCATCGAGTAACGTCTACGAAACATAGCATGCAACAGTTAGCCTCTGTTAGAGAGGATGTGTGAGTTTTCATCGATCACAAAGCGTTACATTTGGAAAGCATCCCAGAGGAATAGGGGACTCGTTACTTACACTTCAAGTCTATTTTTTATGCGCTACACATCCAGAAGTGTTCAGCGCAGGTCATGAGATCGGGGCAGACAGGAAGTCAAACACGTAGGCAGTGTAAAGCATCTAGAAACTTTCAAAATAAAATTCAAGTGCGGATTTTCTTTTGCTGAGCTAGCGAATTAAGTGTGTACTTCCTGTGAACCTTCCGTAGCCAAGGTAAACATAACAGGCCTTTTTGGATACATGCTGTCGTCTTTCTCCTTGCTTGTTCTCGTGTGAATCATCGAACGTTGAAATTCGGGCTGTTGTGGGACCGGCTGCGTGGAGTGCTTTCGCTACGGTTTTTGCATCTGAAATGCTCCTGGTGGGAAGAGAGCCCGCAGGTAAAACGTGTCTATTATGTTATGCATCGTTTACGCATCCAGTGGGAAGGCTGGGTGAGGCACCCATGGTAGAAAACTGCTGTATACTGATTTTTGACCCACTCCTGTGCCCAATTCAAAAATAACATTTTCCTACCTTTGGTGGAGCGTCACAATCACTCTGGTTCATTCAGAAGCGCGTCAGGAACACTCCGACCATAAATCTAAAATTTTTTAAACATGTCGGATTGACTTGGAATTATTTTCAGGGACAAACAAACGTGCTGCCTTTTGAATATGATGTGTAGTGGCTAGCTCAATTGGCCACTTGGCTAGACTCTAGCCCATCAGAAAACGAGTTGACAAAAGCCCACTGCACACGCCTCCTTTGGCATTTTTTTTTCCTTCAAAGATCGCGCGAGATTCCTTGTCTTCCTGGGGAATATCTGTGAGCGAAAGCAACGCATGCAGTGTGTTGTTGTTGCAGAGTTACTGCACACCACACACTGTATGACTAAAAGTTGTATATCCATGATTTTTATCACCGCATGTGTGGTGCTCCATGCTTTGAAAATCACCCGTCTCTTTAAAAATCCTGTCGCGTGAACAGGGCTTCTTTTCACACAACCGAGGTTGTTAGAACTAGTTAGACTAACTGCACATCGAATTGCCTCTGTGTATGAAGTGTGATGTAGAAACAAAGCTGCCTCGCCTTGCCTCAGAACAGGTAAAGCATAAATATTTCCACAGAAGGCAACTTCGGAGTAAATTCTCACAATATTTTTGACATTTATTGAAACATGCAGATGGGGTGGTCAGTGCTAAACGCCCACTCATGTGCACGGTTGTATTCATGTTGTATGTGTGAATGCTAAAGAATGTCCAGACTCTGTATTTTACATCCACAACATTTTCTCTCTGACAGCATTAGTATGACACGAGCATCCCTTTCCATCTTAATACTTTCTGCATTTCCAGTATGTTCTTGGAATATTTTCACCCATCCATATTGTGTTGCATCCAAATGCTGTCACAGTGGAATTTCTGCATTCTGCTCACATTTCAATGATGAGGTTTAGTACGCGTCAGACAGTGAGGGCTCCTGGGTGACCTGCTCATTTCCTGGTTTCTTTAGTCAGACTGAATCATTGGCCTTGCAAGACATGTCCTTCCCTTGACATGAGAACAGGCAGAGAGGACAGTGAGGGGTAGAAGTGGACATATGGGAGCTTTTGATATTCCATAGTCAGATTTTCCTCTCTGGCTGTGAATATTTTGTGCGAGCACATCTCTCCTGGGTCACGGTTTAAAGTAAGGAAGGGTTTTATGAATGCTGCCTGTATGCATGAATGGGCTTGAGAGGACACTTGCGTTTGTAGAGGTCAGTATGGAGATGAGACGCAGCTGTGTGAAAAATATTCAAAATTTGTGTACAGATGGTTAAGTGCCCACTAACAAGGTCTGTGAGGGCCTGGCTGTAATGCTCCTCGATAACCCTTCCCATTGAAACTGGAACTCTTTGTTAGCCTCGTCCTCGTGAACTCATCCTGAGGGTGAAGTGGAGCTCGTTGCAAACGTCATAAAAATGGTTATTTAAAGTCAAGTACATCTGCTCAAGGTGTGGGCAGAGAGAATCCATGACCTTTATGCTAAAGTACTAAATGTAGATGCGTAAGGTTAGTCATTCATTCTGGTAAACTAGGAACCCCCTAAAGGCATCTCACCAGGGTGTAACACAAATCTGCTTCCTCCATGAGTCGATGCATCCAACTGTTCTGATTTTTATGGCAACATTTGGACTCTGATGTACGTCGGTGTGATTACGGGTATCGTGATTGCTAATGGATACTCTTTCACACACGCTTTCCTCTTCTTTTCGCTGACTGCTAACTGTGAACCATTCATGGACCGAAGTCTAGATTCGCTCTCACCAGCAGATGTTTTCCCTTGAGCCGCAGCCAGAAGTGATCGGCTTGACAGAGATGAAACCGACAGTGCGCGACAAGTCATCTTCGCGTCACATGGTTGAGTGAGCGCGGGGAGATTGGGAGAAAGACTGAGAGTAGGAGAGCCGGAGTGCCACATGAAAATAATGATCAAAGACGTCTTCTTGTTCTGGAGTTTCCTGATCTGTTTGGACAAAAATCAAAGTGAGTTGTCTCTATAGATCCCCGGTCTTTTACAAAAGTCAAATCTGTTAATCCACATGAATAATGCATCTCTCAGAACGATGTTTCTGTGGACAAGGAGGGAAAATTTAATCCAAGAAGTTGCTTTAATAGAAGAATGCTAAGTACACAGCCTGTTTTTACTCTTTGCTAAGTTTCTTATTTAATTAGCAGTATTTGTCGAGGTAAAGTCTGCCAGTGAAACTTAGTGAAGTGAATCTGAGGTTTGCACCAATTTGTTGGTAACACTGCTGTGTCTACAACAATCCGTGTGTGATTAAAGGGTGTTGGAGAAAGAAATCCTGTGACTTTTTTTTCTTTTTGATTAACTTTCCTGTTAAAGTTTGTTTGAATTTGTGTGTTTTAGAACAAACAACCCTGAATGACTGGGTTATCAGTGACTGTTTACAAATCCTATTTTTTTCTTTTACATTTTTAATCACCCCAAATTTCCAACAATCCCATTTTCTCCATCTAAAAGCTCAGTTAATTGGCAAGCAACAGCTTCTATTAATTGTCCACGGCAGCAGACGTTGTGACTGCCAGATTCCCAGTGTTCAACCTGGATATGAGTCTACTCTGCACCATCTGCCAGATATTTTAGAGCCTTCATTTGTTATAATTGTGATCATTATGGCTTACAGATGATGAAAACCCCAAATTCAAAATGTCAAACAATTAGAAAATTGTGAAAAGATTCAATATTCTAGGCTCAAAGTGACTATAATCAGCTAATCAATCCAAAACACCTGCAGAGGGTTCCTGAGACTTTAGATGGTTTCTCAGTCTAAGCTGAATTACTGATATAAAAGGACTTTAGCACCACATTTTTCCACTTTCGCCCATATGCTATGACCTTTAGTACGACTGTTGCAGCTTAAGCCTTTATCCTTAATGACATTTTTGTACTTAGATTGCTTTTACTTTTATGCTTTTATACTTTAAGTGTCTTTTAAAACCAGTACTTTTTTGTTTTACTCTAATAAAAAGCTTAAGTTAATACTTCAACTTGTACAGAAGTATTTTTAAACTCTAGTATCAATACTTCTACCTGAGTAACGGATGTGAATACTTTTGACATCTCTGAACTTTATTTACTATCCTCTGGGTGTCAGAATGATGTTTGAAATTCCAGTAAAAGAATAAAACAGTTTTTCTTATTTAAAGAGTAAGGACACATAACCAACGTCTCAATTTAAAGCTGTTATAGCAAATCTACAATCAAGTTAGGTTTTGAAAGCCAAACATGGTCACAGAACACTCAACC